AAAAGGCCCACCTTGCCACCTCATACATTTATAAGATAAAAAAAAAAAACCCTACTTTTATGATTTTTTTTTCACACAAAATCTGTTGCTCCATCAATGTTCAATACAACCATTTTTTTCTTCTTCAATCATACACTATGGGAGTATAATGAAAAGCACATTTCTTAAGGTTTGCCTTTAGCCCCGTTGTACCTGTATTTCACGTCATTAGTACATTTATATGACCTGTTGTTGCCTAATAGCTACCTCTGTACATTTCAGAAGTGATCTACCCATCATTATTTCTGCTCTGACATCAGTTGTGCGCAACTCATTGCTAATGCCCTACATGGTTTAGCAGAGACGGCATGCTGACATATTCATTGGAGATGTTTCTCAGCTGTTGTCATGGAGACACCTGTTTTGTGATTGATTTGAAAGCGCTCCAATACAGAGCTCCATTCATTTCACAAATCTGCAGAGATTCACTGATATTTGATGTAGTGCACTGACAAACACTCATGTTGAGTAGTTATTGGAGCAGAATGTAATTTGGAAACAGGCCCTCTTTTGTATTGTATCGCTTAGAGCCAGAGCAGGCCATTGGCTCACAGAAGACCACTGGCTCCCATCTGGGTTGCTGTGACGCACTCGAATTGCTCTGGGTTGCCCAGGTCTCTGCACTCTGTCATCATGTGTCTGTAAACGACAGCCCAGCCGCCCAGGGAATGGCTGCGATTGGGCGAATCTGTCTTGAACTTTTAGGGAGGGGCTTAATTGGCTTCTAGAAAGAGTGATGGACACTGTGAGACGATGTTCCCTTTGGCTGATGTTTGAGTTGTGTTTCTCTTTCACAGTCTATTGGAGCAAGTAATTGTGGTAGAACTGCTCTAAACCAGGGGCGCTTATAGATGTGCAAATCTTTTCTGAATGGCCCTGAAAAACACGAGGGTAAAGAAAGCAAATGATCTTTGACTCTGTTAATTATGGGCCATTTATAGACAATTTACAATACTAAACTGTTCAAGTTATGTGCCAATATTAATCTATTAATGCTCCAAATAGGATTGCTAAGATATGTTTTGAAAATGAATATATTTTATCATCATATACTTTTTCTTACCGATTTTATTTATGACCGACAAATATGCATCCCATTAAGTTTATTAGTTATGTTAAAATTGTGTAAGGTAAATGGATGGGAATTTTATATGCAATTCAAATACATGAATCTTATTTAGGCCTACATAATTTAGTTTCTCTTTGTTTTTATTATAAATTACTTGTTGAATTATTTACACTTGTTGGTAGAAATACATTATAACAGGGGTTTTCAAACTTTTTAATGCTATGGACCCCTAAAATAATTATTATTTTCCAAATATATTTATTTTGAAATGATTTACTTTCAAATGTCATTTTTAGTCATTTTGAACCTATTATTAATATTTTATTTTTAGTATTCTATGTTGTTATTTTATATTGAACTTTTCCACAATGCCTCTGTCTCTGAGGATGCAAGATTTAGTTTCTTTAGAAATAGCATTTGCAGATTCCATAGATCTAAATAAAATGTATGCTTAGTTATAACTGCTTATAAAGAAGAAGAAAAAATTGACTCATGAGACTGAAATGCCTAAAATGCTTTTGATTTTTATACCGAATTCGATTTATTTTGTAAAGGTCCCATATGGAGCTCATGGAGTCGAGCTGAAAGACATACAAAATTATAAAAATAATAATTTGGCTAAAATCTTATTGGATGAGCTACATTCAAAGCCATTGTAAAGCATCTGATTTTGAATTGTATATCAATGCCCCAAATTGCTAGCATGTGTTATACAGTGATTCTACCGCGGTTAAGAGGGTTCAACAGCTGGTACGGCTGGAAGACCATCTTGAACACGCACATTTCTCCAACCTCTTACTAATCTCACGTTTCGTTCTCCATCCTCAGTACATGCAGGCGAATTTAATCATCAAACACATCAAGATCTCATCTCAAACCAGAAGAACCGTTCAACTCGATAGATGGGCTCCTTGGTAAACGAGAACAGTGAGCTGCAAGGATTTGCAAATTATCTCCAAAACAAACAATCCCAACAGAAAGAGACAAGAAACATTTAAAACGCTTGCTGTTAGAAAGAGCCCTAGAACCAATGTGAAGATTGGACACTGAACACTTTAACAACCCCCATGTGACTCTTACAGCAGACTGAATGAAAGAGGAACATGGAGGTGTCATAAATGAGACAGATGTATGACAGGGAGTAGCTATAGAAGGTAGTGTCATGGTCATCTTTATTGATGATTTCTCGTTTCACGTGTGGTGAATATTTTCCTGCAGAATCCTGTAATGGTCTTTGTGAAGGTAACCATGGACATGAGCACCTGAGCCGCATCTATTTATAGCAGTCCTGCAACCTGAGGCATTGTGTTCTTTATGACCCACACGTCTCCCAGATCACCTGGCAGGCGTTTCTCAGAAGACCCTGTTTTCTTGTGTTTTAATCAGCCGTAAAGTAAAAGGAGCTTAGAAGAAAAGCGCACGTCTCCAGGAGCATTCCAACTGCCATGTTTCATTAATAGTTTTTTTTGTCTGCATGTTTTGCTTAACCCAGAATCTTTTTGTCAAAATGTTGCTTCATACTCATGCATTATGTAAAGACTATAGTTCTAGTGTTCATCTAGGGTGAAGTATGTGCTAATAGATTATGTGCAGACAGAGTTTTTAAATGTCCTGCTGTGGTTTGACGTCTGTGACATTTTCAGAGAGAATCTGTTCGTGAATTTGGCTGTACTGCACAAAACTGTATATAATTGTATAAATGTATTTCATAAACAGTGTTATTGGAAGTTATAAAACTATCTGTTGAAATGTGTTGACAACTTATTTCCGAGCATAAAGTATTAATTTCACTCTTCTGAGTTTTTTTTTAGAAAAGTCATTCTGGTTATCTTGAATTTTGCCAAGTAAGACATGTTCCTGGATAAACATATTTTGTTGATCCTGGAACAACATTCCTGTCTGAAAATTGAGTCCCAACACTACCCCTAAACTAGGGCTGTATGTCACGATATATCAAAATATTGCAAATGTACATATTGCGATATGTATATTGCAAAGGCTTGCTATATCTGAATTTTAATAGGCTACTTTAAAAAGTTACAAAAACTCAAAAGTTTTAGGCCGACGCATACTATAGCTGAGGATAGACTGGCCACACGACTGTTACGTACGTGTGACTTGCTTAATGTTAAAAAGAGTTATTATGTGCAATAAACTGCGGAAAACAACTCATTGCGCTACTCTGACGCACACCCGAAGCAAGTGCACTGAAAGTCACCTCTCGGACAGCGTGCAATCCCAAATTCAGTTCTCTTTTGTGGCTTATTGCACTTGAATGGTCAAATACACAAATATGCATGTAACAGTCTTAAGTGAACATAAACAGTTGGGAAAGAAATGTGGCAATAGGATCAGTGCATTAGGTCTTAAAGTGACAGCAGCCTAATACAGTAAACCAATATTGGTTATACCAGTTTTTACATATAATTAAATATAATTTACATTGATTTTACACACTTAAAGCATTATCGTATCGCATATTGCATTATCTAACAAGTTATAAAATATCGCATTTTTCTTCAATATCGCACAGAGGGAAATAACACTGATGTAGAAGCACCTAACCCTGGTTGTAAGCCTAAACTTGACATAAACTGTAAACTTGACCCTCAAATCTGATTGGAATGTTGTTCCAGGATCATGTTGTACTTGGTGAAATCACATTCATTAATTGTTATCACTTTACAATTAGTTTTCATTTGTTTAAGGGGTCCTATTATGCTTTTTTTTTGTTTTTGCAAAGTAACAAAGCTCATACTGTTGTAGAAAGCAACTTCCCCTCAACACAGTGAGATGGCAGACCCATTCTTTGGATACCATGAGTCCATGACTGAAAAATCTTTCTAATAAAATGGTTATAATGAGCTGAAAACTTGCAGGTGGTTTTACAGCTGCTCCCTCAGGAGTTTTAAACATTTACCATCCTTAAAATAGACCAATAAAGCAGCCTTTTAAAATGGATGATTCCTTGCTGAGACACCCTGCATTTTTTAAATCACATTGGATCGCTGTTATTTTTCAGCGCATTTTAACGTCAGTTAAGAAAGCACAAGAAAATGGAAATCCAAGTAATTGGACTGAACTGCTCTGAACCGTATACTTTGCAGCTTCTAATCCTTTACATGCTAAGAGATGTGAAGAAAAATCCCAGATACTTACAAAATGATGATGAAAAGAAAGAAACCATTCAAATGAGTTAATTATGGAAAACATTTTTTTATTAAATATATAAAAAAAACAATTCTGCTGTTTTCGTCCTTTTTTTTAAACAAGTCATAATGAAAAGTGATATAACTGTTAACATTGTAGCTTTGAAACAAACTCACTCTCTTATCCTTCTTTGGTAATGTTTACACATTGATCACTATATTTTGAGTACAATCTGTGATTATGGTGTATTTCATAATATTACCAATAGCAGTATATTTGCTTGGTGAAATAGTGAAATTATTGCATACTTTGCATTTTTTCCTCCTGATACACAAATACTAATGCCTTGCAGTACACTCAGTAAAGTACCAAAGCAGTAAAACACTGTTAATAAACTTCAACTAAATAGGTTAAAACGGTTAGTAAACAGTAACGTTAGTAACATCTCCCACAGTTAAGACACTATCTAACCATGTCAGTTTAGTGTTCGGTAGTGATATTGGATATTTTTGCAAAAAAAAAAACAACAACCTAAAAATATGGTTTGTTTTTGATGAATAACATTTAGAATTTTTCCTAATTCTTTGACCTTTCCACACATTCATTTTTAATATGCTTTCATTTTGTATTCACATCTTTTGGTGGCTTTTCACAGCAGAAATGATTTTCAATAAATGCTTCAATATGTCGAGCACACTGAGCCATGAATGTGCATTAGTTGAAATCATGCACATAAATCTGAAAATCAGCGGCTATAAATGGAAGTGTTTTCATATAGTGATACAGTATATTCAGTTGCCCATTAAAAGATACAGACAGATAAGAAAAGTGTCCCTTCAAAATACTGGACAAGGCCTCTTCTGGCATATACTGAGAAACACAAGACAACATACATGTTTGATAGCCTAAGGAAAACAGTTGCCTCTTAAGTGGCTTTGCGGATGTTTGACATGGCCACATCAGTCCAGCTGCTTACGGACTGCTGGATGCGCTGTGTCTGTTTTCGGATGGAAGCCCTGTTCAGTCCTCTGGAAATGTTGCTCTTGGTCGTGCTGTAGCTCTTGCTCATGACCCCTTGGTAGTGCTCCAAGGCCTGGACCCTGCAATCACATCATCAGCAATTGTTAGAGTTAAGTGTGGGATGAAGTAAGGTGCTTTTGGAGATCATGAAATCAAATTAGACAATTCTCTGTTCTTTTTTTTTTACACAATGTTGCAGTGCTTATTATAAATAAATATCTGTGCACATTATTTTAAAATGCAACAGCGTCTGTTCTCTTAATGACGTGTGTCGGTGGAGGGTGGGACTTAATATCCTCCACAACTGGCAGCAAACTGGCATTCAGATCTGCCTCCATTTAGCTGGCAACTAGCCAAATTCCTACGATCAAATTTATTCCCGAAGGATGAAATCAAGTCCTGCCCTACATTTTTCTTATTCCAGAAGCTGTCTCATTTGGATATACGTCACAAAACGGAAGAAAACTATCGCAACTTCAGTTTTATGCTGACTTTGAGTTTTTGTTATAAGTTTTTATGCGAACGTTTGCAGCCGAATGCAGAGGCTTTCAAAGTTTACTTCAAATAATAGTGCACGAATCGACACATGAACACTGTAGACTTGAAAAATGTCTAAACTTTCTAAAGGTAAAGGTACACTATGCAATTTTTTTTGTTCAAAATTTACATAACGAGTCAATACATCACCAATCCCAACGGGTTTTTGTCCTACCTTGATTCACTATGGTAAGCCTATTATAAGTGTTTATATTTTAGACCTAGCGGGATGGTTTTCGTGGGAAATTGCGTAAACGTCACTCGCCCGTCTCGTCATATCCGTAAACAGAGAAAATTTGCGTGTATGGTGTGGGAGTGGCATAGTTTAGTTGTCATAACTAGCGAGAAAGTTTGACGTGGAGGCGCTAAATCTCAAACCTCCGGGGAATCTCCCACCTTAAAAAAAAGAACGCGACAGAACTCGTAATAAAACAAGAATCAACGTAGGCTAGGTGTTTCGGAGATGGTGAGAACAGGGATTTGAGATGTTGTAAAAGCGATGCGGAGATGGTGGTTTTATTACTCATCAGGGGCCGTATTCACAAAGAATTTTAAGGCTAAAAGTAGCTCCTAACTGGCGAATTTAGGAGCAACTCCTAAAAATAATGGGCGTGTCACTCCTAACTTTAGGACACCAAATTTTTTTCACAAAGAGTAATTCACGAAGCATTTTAGCCCTAGGAGCACCCAAGTCTGGGACAGCTTAAAAGAAGTCGAGAGGACTCCTAACTCACTAAGACCTATTCACAAAGGATTGTAGCTCATACCACTGCCTCTCGCAGTCGTCCGGGGTCCGCGACACAAGCGGGAATGCTGCATTGATCTGCAAACAAATCCCCTCCCATGTCTCACGCTTAGTTTTGCTTGATATCCCAGTGCCGAATTTCACTTTTATTATGTTTTTGGGCCAGCAGCAGTAACTGATCCTGCGTCCAGTTGGGCTTTCTTTTCCGTTTTGGCGAGTTCATAATCCACCCTCATTCAACTATTATGGTGTGTTCACACCGAACGCGAATTTAATTATTTGCGTGAGTATATTACATACAAAGTCAATGCAAAGACGCAAATAGACGCATCATTCGCGCCGGGCGTTGCGAATGACGCGAATTGGGCGACACGTTTGCCGCGAATGTCTTCCGCGCAAGTTGAAAAATTTGAACTCGAGCGAATGTTCAAGCGTCTAACTAGACGCGATAGACACGTATTTGACGCTCTATTCGCGTTCGGAGTGAACACACCATTACATTACTTCAATAGGAGAAACATTTCCTTGCTTTAAGTAGTCTATTTAGGCTAATAGGATGTCAATTAACCAAGCAGGTGTTAATGCAAGTGTCGTTTTTTCATTATTAGGCAAGTGGCGGTTTTCATTGGGGTATTAGGCTACCTTGATTTAATTTAATTTACGACTTTTCTCTCTCTCTGCCTTTTTAGAATTACACTTCACTGGGGCATGCACAAACATGATATGCATTTCGATGACATTACTATTATTATTTTGTGTAGGACACAGACATATTTAGATGTCGTAATTCCATGATTTGTTGCATCTATGTTATGTTCCGCATGATGGCCCTGTCAACTAACAACCAATCACTGTGATCATTGCGAGGAAGCTCGTGCATGAGAATTGACATCATCCATAGCAACGAAGACTCACTCTTAGTTTAGGAGTTGTCATTTTTCCTTACTAATGGCGCTTTTCCATTACCAGTACCAGCTCGACTCGACTCGACTCGCCTTGGCTCGCCTCGACTCGGCTCGCTTTTCGCTCCGTTTTCCATTGCAGAAAGTACCGCCACAAATAGTACCCGGTCGTCATAGCGACGCATTTCGTTCCTCGTTGCCCCATCAAGCTCTCTCTGGATCCTCTCTTCGGCAACCAAACAAAGGAATGTCTGCACCTCCTCGTTTGACCACGGCGTATTCTTCCGAGTTGCCATAATAATAGTAGTAAGTTTAGTAACTATCTCTGGCCAAACTATTTAAAAATGGCGGGGTTATTCTGGATACTCCATCTGGCGCGTGCAATGATGACGCAGATTCTCTGTGACCAATCAGCAGTCGGCATTGTTTTCACGTCACATTTTAGTATCGGCTTAGCTCGCCTCAGCTCGCTTAGAACCTCGCCGGAGGTGGTACGAAAAAAAGTACCCGAAAGCAGGTACAGGTACAACTTTTACACAGTGGAAAACCAAACAAAGGCGAGTCGATTCGAGCCGAGGCGAGCTGGTACTGTGTAGTGGAAAAGCGCCATAAGAGTAGGTCTGAAAGGCATTGTGAATAACTTTTAAGAGAAAACTCCTAGCTAAAATATTTTAGTGCGGTTTAGGAGTACTCCTAGTGGTAAGATAAAATTCTTTGTGAATACGGCCCCAGGTCAGTAAGGTATTTTATTGAACATATCAATTGCCATATGTAGCTCTCTGACAGCGTTCGTTATAAAGCATTATATTGTGAAGGGCCATTTTCAAGGAAGTACCGTGTCTATTAATGGGTATCGCAACAGGAACATTGTACCTCTAAATTAAGTTTAAACAATTATTAATTATTAGTCCTAACTGGTTACAAAAGACTCTGCTAGCATGTGTACAGGTGAATATGCAGGTTTTCAAAGTATTCTTCATTTGATAACTTGTGCGAACTCAGGCGGTCGACACCAGTGGTATTTTAGTATTAAGATGCTATGATATATATATATATATATATATATATATATATATATATATATATATATATATATATATATATATATTTCCATTTTTAATATTAGTTAGTCTTAGTAATTTTATTGTGTTTTGTCATTTTTATTTTTAAATACAACTATATAGCCTAGTTTTTATAAAATTAAATCTGAGGTATTTTAGTAAATCAAGTTAAACTAAATGAAAATGAGAAATGTTGCTTTAGCAACTAGCTGAAATAAAATAATTTTTTTAAATACATTTTATTTCAACTAATGTTTATTTCATTTCAAGTAATGAAAATTGCATATGTGCAGTTAGAAAAATTGGGCTGTTCATCTACAATAAGTGCGTACTATGTTGACGACAAAATGTACATGTGTTCTGTACGTGCACCCTAGATTATGCATAAGAAAACGAAGTATACTTTGGGCTTTAGCCTACAAGCTTAGTGCTTGTAGGCTAATTGCACTTTTGATTAACGAGGACAAGATAGATTTTTGATCAGGCATTGAGGAAGGGGGATAGGATCTAGCAATACACCATGACTAAAGAAAACACATTAACAGTTATTTACATGAGTGAAAGTTATGTTAGTTAGAGTTTAGTGTTCAAATCCTACTGTTATATATTATTTTTAGTGCTGTCAAATTGATTAATCATGATAAATCACATTTAACATAAAAGTTTGTAAATACACACACACACACTATATTTACAAAATGTTATGTTAGGTGCGATTAATCCAGATTAACTGAGTTGACAGCACTAATTGACCCTTCGCTAAGCCCCGCCCTCCTTAGTTACTGTTGCTACGCCTGTCAAGCTTTTGCGGCTGCCACGTCTATTACAGTGTGAATGCACCGGTGTCAGACATTCCCAAGGAGATATTTAGTTATGTTTTGGTGAACAAGTGAAATATCTGAGAGAGCAAGACAAAAGGGACAGCAGTATGCATTCGAGGGATATATCCACGACATAATATGCAACTTATTAGAGAATAATTTCATCAAAATTGAAGCTAAAGCCTATAACGTTAGGTCCCAGCGCAAGTAGCAGCCGCCTCCTTAGCAGACCATTCACGTGGGAAACACACAAATTGAACAGCTATGTTCATGCACAGCAGAGTAAGTGAAATGTGAAAATAATCTAATAATTACAAATCAAACAGTTTATCCATCAATCTAACACCGGGAGAGCCGCGATCGGATCGGATTGGGGTAAAGTTACAGGGGTAACGTTAGTAGGCCGTCCGCCGTCGATTAACAAAATGCTGAAACATATTTTAAAGTATGTCAGTGAGCCTCCGTCTTGCCTTTAATCGTCTTATGTTACGTTCAAATATATGCATTATACAATGGGTCTCCACACTGCTTGATCCACGCCCGGGATTTCTCCCCTTTGGCTTTTAGGTTTCGGGAAGAGAAAAAATGCCACCCCACTGTCTAAACTTTTAGAATACCGGGTATCAGATTTGCACAATCCATACGCACAACGCGTCGGCATGTTTCCCTCGCTCGAAAGCTTGACAGACCTCCCGCGCCTAGTTACGGTTGCTAAGCCACGATTGGCCAGTGGCGGTTTTCGGGCGTGGCTTAGCGAAGGGTCAATTATCTTTAAAATGAAACAAGCAAAAATGCTGTTGTCAGCATGCAGTTTTTCAGTGTATGGAAAAGTGCAGCTTTGGCATTTTAACAATAACTCGTTTAGTGTCACACAGGAAAAAGGGAGCAACAGACTTGTGAATTGGAACATTAATCATCTAAGATACAATTTTTTTTTGCTTTCAAAATGTACTGAGCTGAAGAATCTGTTCAAATTGGCATGATGAATCACAATATAGAAGTAAAATAATGGTAAAAAATTTTTTTGGAAAGAAATGGACAAATCAAGCACCAGCCATTGTAAAGTGTGTTGTAAGATGCCTTTTAGTGCTTGATATTAGAAAGTAAAGCTCCTTAAATCATGTTTGGCGTAGGTTAATAACTAATCATGCAATACAAATAGGCTTTAGTGTGGCACTGACTGCACGAATCAGACCCAGTGAGCTAAAGTTAACTTCTTAGATTGGACAAACATACTCACATAATGGAATAAACATTGCATTTTTGCACAAGTATGTTTTCAAGCAGAACTTCAGAAAGATAGTTAAAAACATTTACCTTAGCTTTAATCCAAAAGACACTCCCTGAACCTGTCGCTTGCAGAATAGAAGAGAAATAATAAATGGACTTAATTCAGAAAGATATTACAAGTGATCATGCCTGAAAGCCTTGAACTTGTTGACTGGAATCAGAGGTGGAAAGAGTAATAAAATATTGTACTCAAGTAAAAGTACTACTACTTCAATTAAATTTTACTTAAGTACAAGTAAAAGTACTGGTCTAAAAATCTACTCAAGTAAAAGTAAAAAGTAGCTCATTTAAAATGTACTCAGAGTAAAAGTTACTGAGTAACTTTTTTAACAGCGGGGGTGGGATGGGGGACTCTCCCGTGTAGGCTTGTAATGGTATGAGATTTTCACAGTATGATAACGTCTCAGAAAATATCACGGTTTACAGTATTAATCAATTAATAAATAAATAAACTGTATTATTAAATTATGGGTATTATTATTTATCATCATCAGTTAAAATGACAGTTAAATTAAAGGGTCACTTCAGGATTTAGCATTAAGCTTTGTATCAGTAGAAAACCTGTAGTATTTTCGAATTACCGTGCTCATTTCTTCTACATAAATGACCCAGACCCATTTTAAATACACATTCATCTTCCCAGAGGTGAAGTGCCCCTTTAATGAAAACAGGATTTTTTTTTGGGTTGAACAAATGCTTTTATTATAACAAACTTGAAACCATTTGTTTGTTTTGTTTATTAAAATTTCAATAAAACATGTCTTATCAATTAAATTTGATAATTGATAATGAATTAGATTAACAACTTATTTTTAACATCAATAATTTATTAAAATGTTTAAGAAAAATATTGTCCTATGAAAAATTTTATTCAGAAAATTAATGTTTCTTTTTATGATTTAATCCAAATATATTATCAAAAACGGTTGTAATCAAATGTAAATTTAAAATTGTGTCCTTTTATTTTTTGGGGAAGCGCTGCAAAAACAGATTTACTAAATTAAACCATGGACAAAAAATATATTCCTTTAAATAATGTTTAAATAAAATGTATTATTAGTTTGTTGTTGTTATTATTATTTAGAGAAGTAGGCTACGTTCTATTGTATAATATTAATATATTTCTGTCCTAATTTCTCCTAGTAAAACCAAACTTTTATTTTGATGGGTTGTAGTGAAGACCAAAAGTGTAAAAAAGTGTTTCAAAGTGTATTTGACAATGGTTTATCTCAAATAAAATGATGAAAATGCTCATTAGGCGTTCTCTCAGAGCAGCTCTGGAAATGTTCGTGTATTCATATCCTCAAATTGTTTGTGAGACTCTGAATGTCACGCGTACTTGAGTATGTAGTAGACAAAGCGGCGCAGCTCAGCAGAACAAATAGGGTTATATTTACATGCAGTATTTTTGTGCTAAGCTTAAATATTCACAGACCATGTCGCGACTGGATTTATTGCACAGTTCTACTTTCCATGTATTCATCCATCCATTATTTTGCGTGTTTTACGTGACATCTGCGTTATGTAAATTTAATTTTCATGACTGGATTCCGGGGTTCCCTCTGCATCATGTAAATCGGGACATACCTTTATCTGCAGGAGGGATGGTGTCCTATATCCTCCTTTTGCAGCCCCTTTGCGTCCACATTTTTTGCAAATTGGATATCTATCCTCGAGGACAACCACGCTTTTTATCTACAAAGTATTTTCATACTGGCCATAATTCGCTTGGCGCTTCGGTTTCAGCTTCAGCTGTGTCTGTGCGCGTTTGTTCTCCCGCCCTTCAATCAATGCTGTAGTTTCCGGAGTGTGTTTTTTTTTTCTTTTATTATTTTTTACTCAGTAACGGATATGATTTCAAATGTAGCGAAGTACAATACTTCAAAGAAAACATACTTAAGTAAAAGTAAAAGTACAGATTTTAAAAACTACTTAAAAAAGTAGAAGTACACAAAAAAACTACTCAATTACATAACGAGAGTAAATGTAATTCGTTACTTTCCACCTCTGACTGGAATATAGCAGATTTAAATCAGCCCTAAAATCTCATCATCACCCCTTTAGCTGGATTGATTAAGAGCCTAAGAGACTTTTGAGCCATTTGAAAATCTTGGCGGGAGGAAAGTTATGTGTGGAATTCAAAAAGGGGAGGGAACGGGGTCCCTCGGATAAGGAGGAAGGGCTGGAAGATATTAAGACTAGCACTGCATGATAAAAACTGTAACAACCCCAATGTCTTAAAAAAATAACCCTTAGATTAAAACAGTTAAATCACACAGTTGTTCCAGCAATAGACAACAATTCCCAAAAGCAACCCTTCTAAGTTCAGTAACTTAAACATGAAGGCTTTTTAAGGAGGTTTCGGTACAGAGGAGCTGCTGTCTAGTGAAACGTTGGGGTCTGGGGGGGAGGGGGTGCACCCTCCCAAACTACAAACAGGAAATGGCAAGATGTCATGAGCGGGAACTGGGAACCCATTGTGCCTGAGTGAGCACACCCTATCTCAAGAACTGACAGAAATAAAACTGATAAAAGGTGAAGATTAAAACAAAATTTCTTTTTCCTATTTTTCTTTTACAGAATGAACATTTTATTGGGATTTTTTTTATACTCACCTATCATCTTTCCAAATCGCATCATCAAAGGCTTGAGAGAGACGTTTTAGCCTTCCTAGGCCTTTGGACACACAATCCAGATCCTCATCAAACTGCCTGTCATGGGATGGAGAGAACCATTATGTGATATCATGCGATACGTTCATATCTGCAAAACTGTTCTTGTCATCCCTAATGTTTTGTGGAGTTAAGGTCATCTATATGCTAATGTTCTCCCAAGCGTTGACTTAATTAACTGTCAGACATTTTATTTTAAAATCTACAGGCATGGGCTGTGTTTGGAATGGAATACAAGCATACTACTTATTGGATACTGCACAGTTTAGGGAGGGTCAGGCACCAAATCTGGACGATAATTATTTTTATGTTATGGACTTATAATTTATAACATAACGATACTATTATGTTGAATCAAACTACTAAAAGATAAAATACTGAAAACTAAAATCAATCACATTGAATGCTACGAGATCCAGGCATCAAAACATTATAATGTACAATATGAAAATGGATATTCATTTTGAAATTTGCCAAAGATTACATTTAACAATGTTATTTAATTATTAGTTTTACAACTTTTAGTGAGCGTTAGATGATGGCAAATATCCAGTTCAGGGTGATTTTAGTTTACTAAAACCATCAAAAAAATGTGTTACTTGAAATAAAATAAACTTTAACTGCAATAAAAAAGCAGCTAGTTCCCCAAGGCAACATTTCTCATTTTCACTTAGTTTAACTAAAACTGGAATAAGACATTACATTTATCAGACGCTTTTATCCAAAGCGACTTACATTGCATTTCAAGGTACACATTTACATTGCTATCAGTTCTTGCTTTCCCTGGGAATCGAAACATATTTTTTTTAAAAAGAAGAAAAATTACAAAACACAACACAATTACTAAAACTAAAATTAAAGTAAAAACTAATTTTTAAATATTTACAACAATAGTATCTCAATGATACTAAAATAACACTGAATCCAACATCTTTGAAATAGTTACTGTTATTTTACATTTTTGTTCAATTTTGCGTAAAATGTCTAAATATTTGACCATCTAATCTAATTATAATGAATATTAAAAAAAAGAGAATTGTGGGATCTAGTGTTTTACACACTGTGCTCAATTGTTACACAACATATTTTGGCAAATGTAGTTAGTCATCAGGGTATTCCATGCATGCAGAAAATTGCAATACTCTGCACAGTAGGCTATACATGTTGTATAGTGTAACATCTAAAGTCACTCTCTTCAAAAAAACCAACAAAGTTACCACCTGTAAGTACCAAATCACAGTTCACATCAGTGACATTATGGCCTATTTACAAACAAAAAGGTTAATTCTTTAAATATTGCCCACGCAACTTCCCAATGAAGAAAAATGTTGTCGTCAAATGATTTTATGGGGACACTAAACAATTTAAAATCAGCAAAAATGCAATGTGTGTGCAGCTGTGCAGTCTCACCTCCTGCTGTTCATTGTGTTGGGTGATGCAAAAGGGCTTCTGAGTGCAGCCATTCGCACCAGCTGCCTCCTGGTGCCCCTGGTCTTCACCGTCCTAACAGCACGGGCACTGGCGTCTGGGGTACAGGCCCCTCGAGGAGTCCGCTTGCTGGTTGACCTTGGAGTTCGCCTGGGGGTGATGGTAGTACGGGCGGCAGATCGCTTTGGGGTTTGTGATGCCCCGGTGCAATCACACTCCTCTCCACCTGACGTTCTACCAGGCGTCATGACCAGACACTCCTGACGTGGCTGTCTGCTCCTTTGAAACTTCTGATTAGAAGATGAAAATATAGGATTTTTTGGGAGGGTAAATAAACATTTGTTTTACATGAATAACTATAGCATGAAAGCGAGGCTGTGAGGGATAGACTTAACGTGTTTTCAATGGCATGCGCTGTAAAAAGCTCCTATATTATCACTTATAAGTTTCCACAACTCATGTTGTCTGGAGTTTTTTGTCTACAGAAATTTCTTGGAAAGATATTTTTGCAGTGTTTCAGCAGAACAATCCAGAAACACATTAAATAACAGTATAACCCACTGAAGAGATATATAGCTGCGTCCGAAATCGCATAGGCTACTCTCTTGAGTTGGTACTTATTTTGAATAAACAATTACTTCAAGCCCGCTTAAAAAGTACACTCTATATAATATGAATGTGTGTAGTAAGAATGAAATCTGGACGTAGGCTACTACATTCGCCATGTTGTCATCATCATCATGTGACCTATCAGCATCAGTTACGCCGCTTCACATTATTCTTTGTTTTAAATAACTGTACCACAATGCCTTGTATTTGTCTTGTACTTTTTGCACTGTACTTGTCTGCAATTGAACTAAAAAATAAAATTAAAAAATTAATGTCGCTTCACTGTCATTCACAATGTGTACATGTCCCATCATGGCCTCATGGGATAGTAATTTGTCCATAATATATGCACACTTCAGAATCTCAACAGAAGTGGTCACGGGTACTTTTTGCCTACTCTTTTAAGTGTACTGTGAATTCAGACAGTTATTTTGTCACATACTGTTTTTCACGTATATCCCTCACAGCCTTGCTTTTATTCTTGTTTAAAATCAAAGATGGCGCTGCTGTGAATAAGGTGTTTAACAAGTGATTGAATGAATGTGCATTCAGTTTCAAAGAAATATTAAGCACACCTGACAGACGTTTCCAATGGAGTTTTTTGCACTGCGGGTCATTTTGCGGACAACACTGGTCTTTTGGTTCATCTGTAGTGACTCCCAGGTGGGGTTCTCCGAGATGTTGACGTTGGACTGCACTGGTTTCAGGGGCAGCCGCTTCCGCAGAGACATTCTCAGTGAGTTCAGCGAGCTGGTGGAGCGCATCTTCTTAAACTGCTGCGGCGCTTCGGGCGAGCTGTCGGGCTCTGACTCATCGAGGACAGCATGCGACCTCCAGACCCCACTCACAATAGTGGACGTCATCATGAGATCTCAGGGAGATGAAAAAAAAAAAGCCTGTTTGCAAATACATATGACTTTAAAAATACTTTACGGTAAAAGTGTAGGCCTATGTGTTGTCTTGTTGAATAGTACATTGACTTTATACGTAAACAAATAAAATGATGCACCATGTCCATTTTGCAGTATTTTACAGCAACAATGCATTCTCAGGGATAATGCATAAAAGGAAACACTCTATACCTACAAAACAACAGGTTGTTGTTACTGTAACATTTTCCCTTTGTTAAAATTAGCATAGTCCACCGTGTAGAACAAATAATATGTACGTAAAAAATGTCTGTGACTTTTAAAGATTTTATTCACCATTACTTTTCCAGGTTTTCCACGACGGTGGGAGGAACTGTGAAGAGCTGCCTCTCGGTTTCAAATGATAAATAAACTGATCACAAGCTTGATGTTTGTAAAAGAAAATAGTAAATCGCGGTGAGTGATAATAAAATGAAACTGAAGATTATTCTCCAAAATGTTAGTAACGTTAACGCAGAGTAGAAGAGCACAAAGCATTGATCATTTTAAAAGTTAGCGACCCAACGCAACATCGAACAAAAACAATAAATGCTTTACATAACAAATACGTCTAAAAGATTTTGCATTGACTATGGCGTTAAAATTAAATCTTACCGTTCTTTTCCCAAATTGCGGAGTCTTTTGAAGTCAAACTATCCTTTACTTTGTTTCCAGTGGCTGGCTGTTTGAATTTGGCGGACCGCTCCCTCTGGAAGTCAGACTCCGCCCACTATGTCCCGTTCCTCCACTCTGATTGGCCAAACATGCAGTTGCGTCGCAATCTAAATGTGACGTAACCCGCGGTTCTTTGTTTTGGAACGCTTGTATTGTTCATGATAAACTGTCTATATTCATAGAGACAAAGAGATCACTTTTTAAACTGTTAAATACAGAAATACCAAAGCTCATCATGAATAAACCACCTCGAATGATAGCAAAACGTCGTATGAAGTCTCAACTGCATAAATATCCCAAAATATTTAACAGCTGTGATCATTAAGTTAGTATTGTTTAACATTCTAAAGCGTGTGCTTATAGTCAACTAAAAAAAAAAGTCAACTAAATGTCCAACAAATCTGAAATATAATTACATTTTTATTTGTCTTAGAATGACAGCGAACAAAGAAAACAGCGGAAGTATCCAAATCTTATTATAAAGTGGAAAATATATGTAACCTTTAACCAAATCATATAGGTTATAGGCGAATATATATATTATATACGCCTATAACCTATATGATTTGATTTGGTTAAAGGTTAATGACTTTTACACTATTTACACAAGTAAAATCTCGTCCTTGAGAATGTAAAATATCTTGCAATTCACTTTAATGACTTTATTTTACTGTATCTCCAACAAAAGCCATCAATGTTCTAGGAGTGGCTGTGTCTTTGCTGGCTCAGAGACAAGGTACTTGCTCAACAACATTAGAATGGGGAGAAACACACAAGGAAATCATCTAAAAAATTCACAAGTACAAAGAGTTGTTTGACAGACATATTTTCACCTTATAATTTAACAATAACAAAACAAACAGGCTAAGCAGGAAACTAATAAGATCTTTTTGAATTAGTAATTCATATTTAAGAGGGATTCCATCCTGGTTCCATCCCATTTGCCAGTACAGTAATGGCTACTTGAATTCCAGTCTGTTCTCCTCAATGCTCAATGTCTCTGTGGTTAGAATGCCTGAGATGCAATTCCATGTGGAGATGTTCAATTTCGTTTGCAGCACTATAGGACACAAAAGTTTCTGTTTTTTCAGATAGTTTTTGATTCAAAGATCTGAGTTATTTATGTAAACTAGTTCATATTAAACGTCGCTATCGTCTTTACTTTATTAGTTATGACGATAACAAAATGAAGCTGACATACCTTAATAATTTTATCCCTCCTAGAGATGAGTGCTAATACAATTGTGCATAAAACCACCACCACTCCAGCAATCGTGGGTCCTAGAGGGAACTTTAGGACTCTATCTAAGAGGGGGAGAGAAACATAAATTAAACTGAACATAAATGTAAAGCAGAATGTCAAAGAAAAATTGAGGATAAAGAAGGGACCACAAACCTTCAACCGTAACTGTAAAAGTCCTGATCGCAATTCCATAGACGGGTGAGGTTACCTCACAGATGTACGTTCCTTGATGTACATCCCGCTCAGCTTTTCGGATTGACAACTCAGCGGTAATGCCATTATTGGTCGTTATGTAACTACCTGTGGTCAGATCCAGAACTTCACCATCCCTTTTCCAAACCAGAGCTACAGGAGGGTTGGCACGTACATCACAGGACAGAACAACATCATCTTTTTCCTCAACAAACACTTCTTTCGTGTCATTAAGGTCTGGAGGGTCTGTAATATAATGGCATTCAAACCTTAGAATGAAACAATATCTGACCATATATCTGCTTATGCTGTTTTACATGCATAAAAACAAACGCACAATTTAAATAGTTAATTTACTGAGTTTGATAAGGTGTTACTTCTGGAATAGCTTGCCTGAAATTAAATTGATTCCAAACCTGTCAGTTTTACCCTTGAAGATATTCCTGTTTACTCAAGTAGCCTATTCTGAACATTAAACTTACAATGGACGTCGAACTCGATGGAGCCATTCACACTTGCGTCACCCTTCAGCTGACAGGTAAAGACGACTCCATTGTCCTCTTTAGTGACAGACTGTACACAAAGATTACTCCGGGACAGGCGGTTCTCTTCTGCCAGATTCACCTGGGCTCCATTGCGGTACCACTGCAGTTCGTAGTTGGATGGGTCAATACTTTCATCAGTCTTACAAGTTAGGGTGACAGTTTCCTCAACCTCTGTCTTTAGCAAGCTCCCGATGGCCAATGGACATGACTCAATGGTGACCGCTGGTCAGAATGTGTTTAGAGAGAATTAAATATTAGCAATTTGTTCAGGCATAATGCATTCGAATTATTCAAGTATATATGTTATAACATGCAGCATTTGGATCTGTTTGAAAGCACCAGACTTTGAAAACATAGTGATAGATTAGGCTACCTTTTAAAGGACTGACACAGCACAGCAGGAACAGAATGATAACCAATACTTTCATCTTGCAAGTGTGTCAGCTGCCCTTAATGATAAAAAGACATGAACAAATATGATTTGTGGAATGTTTTGCTTAAACATTCTTCAAATGAATTTGTATTTTGCTAGAGATGAAAGAAAATGGCCTTAACTTATCAAAGTCAATGTGGATCCAAAACAACTTTGGATCCTATTGACTTTCATTGTATGGAAAAACAAAAGACATTTCTCAGAATATCACTAAAGGAAAAAAAAGTCATACAGCTTCGGAATGATGTGAGGGTATGTAAATGATGACAATTTTAATTTTTATTTAAATGTATTTAACAATTCCAGGCAGTTTCAAAGTCATTGAATCACTTGATTTTATCAACAGAATGTGTGAAATCCTAATTGCATTTTCAGAAATTCAGATCCCTTTTTCAAGGCTGCTTACTCACCAAAGCTTTGTGCGACAGTTCTCTGGAAAATGCTAAATCCGAAGGTTGCGTGAGGTCTGGAGAGGCCTGTGTCTTTACACCAATGGTTTATATTCTGTCCCTTTACAGCACTTAACAGGAATGGAAATCACCTTCCCCTCACGGTCACAGACCTTTTAGTGTTGTGCAAAAATAGGCTTATAAGTGTCATTTCAATCTCTCAAGGTGGAATGGGCAGAATGAAAAGAAAGAAATCTCATAAAGATATAGTCTTACAGTCATAAAAACGTTTGCGATAAGAGAAATTGTATGTTCTATAAATGCCTATGTCAATGCCAAACGCATTAAATAAGAAAAGACATGTCCCAACCCAAAATGAATCATGCCTTCCTTTAGTGTTTATTTGTGATATCTGTTCAGTTTATTGACGCAGGGCAATGACACTATGCACATGTACAGAATGCAGGAAAATCAGTTATACAAATTTGATACAAATACAGTGTTATATGCATAAGGTCACCTTGTTATACTATTATTTACATATAGCGTACAAGGGGCTAAAGGCACACCTTAAGAAAAATGTGATTTTCACTACTTCCATGGTGTATGATTGCAGAAAAAACATATAAACTAAAATTATACAGTATGTTTTTAGGTTAATACTTGTTCAAAACATTCATTTTAGCAAAGTTTGAAGGCTATTTTCTGTTTATTTTGATAAATAAAATAATTCATTTTTGTTCCATAAATATACTGTCATTAAAATGTAAGATTCTGAAAGCATTGAGGGAGATCCCCTAATAATTAAAAGTGCCCCTATTCTGGATTTTTGATAATGACCTTTCATGTAGTGTGTTACATAGCTCTAAGTGAATGAAAACATCCTGCAAAGTTTTAAGTCTCAAAGTGCACCGTATATAAAGTTATTGTCTCTCAAAAGTAAGAGTCGACTCTGAGTCAATGAAATGAGTCGTTTTTCAAACGAGTCATAAGCCGTTTCGTTGTGACATGAAGACGAAACATTAGGATATTGCCCTCCCACTTATCGTGCATGCAGGCACCAGGGAAAACTTGAACCCCCTTCAAACCGGCTGATTCCTGTGGATTCTGGACAGCATCATGTCGAGAAGATGTTGTTCTCTACAATGTGAGTTTAAAGCCAGTTTTTTTTCACTGCCCAAGGACGAACATGTGAAGAATCAGTGGTTAAAAATGAATCTTTACCACCATACCACATAGGGGTGGGAGAAAAAATCGATCCATCGATGCGTCGCGATTCTCTCTCCAACGATTCTGGATCGATTCTGAGCTTAGTTTTTAACCAGATGTGCGATGACGTTGAGTTTGCTTTAGAAACACCCGTATTCTGCTTGCTTCCAAATCCTCACACACATACACCACTCGAACCTTCCGTAAAATAATCTTTCATAAAGTTCGGAAAGGTTGAAGCGAATTACAAGGACATTCACAGGCTTCATTGCACAGGATACCCTGTGAGAGACGCGCGCTTTCTTTGATGTTACACTTGAAGTGTGCTGTCTCGCCCGTCGGTATTTTCCTTACAAATGCTCTACGAAGTCATCATTTATGTGGTTTGGAATGCAGTGGACTTGTATATTTAAAATATGAACCTCACTAACAGAAGGCTGCTTTCAATTTCAAATGCTGACGCGCGCTTTTGTTTGTGAGACTGCTCGCGCATGCGGCTGTGCGACTCCGTGTAGTGGTTTAATGTACTTGTGCAAAATTAACGTAAACACAGCCAGTTATGTCTTAAGGGATTAAACGGACAGGACACACCGCATTACTTCTTTTATTTCAAAAGAGATGCGTGCGTGAATGCAGCTTAATAGATCTCCCGCAGTCTATGATGTCATAGTAAAAAACAACAGCAAAGATGAAGAAATATCACTCACAGTTCTTGAATGGAAAACGTTCAGATAATCTAGAGGCTACTGAAAGCACTTTTTGTTTGTTGTTTGTTATATTTTTCTATGCTCCTCTTTATTATTTGTTATAACTTAACATACAACTGTTTTAATAAAAACAAATTAATTTGTAATTTTTTTTTTTTAAAGTACTTAATTACTTATGTAAACTAATGAACTAATAAGGGGGGGGAAGGTAGATAAAGAATCGTTCTGGAATCGGATCGTGACTCCCAGAATCGGAATCGGATCGGATCGTGAGGTGACCAAAGATTCCCACCCCTAATACCACAGCAGTGTAATCCTAAACTTTTGCTGTGTTCCCTTAATTTTACTGACGACTGCTTCTCAAATCTCAGAGTTCAATGCAGGATTTGCAAACCGGTTGCTCTTGAAAGATGGTGTTCAAAATACTTAGTTTTGAGTTTATATTGTGTAGGTCTCCTGCTAACTGGTTAACTCACATTATTACTGTCTTACTGAAATACTTCTGCTAATCGGTTGTGGGCCACTATTACCTAAAACTGTGTCTATTAATGCAGATTGTCTATCGTTCTCACTACTTTGAGGAAAGATTAAGCATGAAACAAGATATTTTTTTACCACCGTTTATGTTACATCAGTAATTTATGCTAGAGCTCGGCTAATGTATGCACTGTTATTGATACAGTTTCCACATGTTCACCGCAATAAATTAGAAAAATACTCGGTAAATAAATATGTACAAGTAAAATAAGGGGTGTGAGGTGAGGAATTACAGAAGCAACATCTCATTATGTACCTCAAACTGAGTAGTGAATCACTGAGAAACGTCCTGCTCGAGCCGTCCTTGCGATGGAGGTTCGGGTTGAATAACTAGTTCTTCCAGTGTTTCATCATCGGACTCGTGCTCGGATTGATATGGTATAATCGACGTCATTGTTCGTTACTAGGCTTGTTTGAGATGAGCAAAATCTGCGCAGAACCGATCACTGGTGATCAGCGTGAGATGCATGCCGGTTAGAAATGTGTCCAAGTGCGGTCTGCTTTGCTCTGATGTCATGCTGACGTATGTCAAAAAACGTCTCAGGTTACGACTAACCTGTACCTGTAACCGGTAACCTGAACCGGTGTCTAAAACGCTTAATCACGACAATCCAATTGGCCGGAGACAGCCTATGACCCATCATCACTAGTGCGACTCGGAAGTATATAAGTCAACATGTCAACAACTTATCGTCTGAAGGGGACTGTTCAGCAGGCATCCCCAAGGCATGGCGAAAGACGCAGTGTCTCGTTACCTGTTCTCAGGGAACATATATAGTTACAGTCGTAACCTGAGACGTTCCCTTTCGGAAGGGAACTCGCACTGCGTCAGAACGCTATGGGGAACGATCTACCCACGCTGCCATGCTGAGGGGAGTGCATGCCAAACTATGGCTATGACAAAAAACGGCAGTTTCACTGAAATGCCCAAAACACTCCCCCTTCTGGTCACATACAGGCTGTCAGTGACTACGTTTACATGCAGCCAATAACCCGTTCAAAACCGGGATATTAGCAATAACCCGGTCGCGAACGGCCATGTAAACACCGGCAAAAACCCGAATATGCTCATATCCCGGATTTTAAAAACCGGGATATTATACCTGGGGTACCCCTTTTCTAACTCGAATTTTTGGTCATGTAAACGCGCATCGGCATATCCCCATAGTGATGTGTGTTCTGAGCATGTTCTATTCGCAAGGAATCTTGGTCTTTTGAGTAGAGAAACTTCTCGGCGCATACAAAACCCCGCGTGCAGTATACCGGAAGTAAACATGGCGAGACGCAGCACAGCATACTTTTGGAGCGAGGTCAGTAACGTTACCAGCACCAAAGCGCAAACAAAGGCGATCGCTATCTGCCCCGAACTATTCATTATCCGCGTGCTGCTGTTGTTGTTGTCTTTGGATACAGGAAGAAGAATCGGAAATGACGCATATTGCGTCTTAAGGTTGTCCGTACGTCCAGACGCTAACCGCGCGTCGCGTTTACATCGGGATATTGCAATTCCATGTATACAGGAGTAACTCTCTCTGCTCACGCATGTAAACGGGTTATCCCTAATGTTTCAGAAACCCGAATAGTGACCTTAACCCGACCATAACTCGAAATTTGGCTGCATGTAAACGTAGTCAGTGACAGTATTCCCTACAGCCACTGCCCAAGCTATAAGCCTCAAAGAGGCCTCAGATACACTGCCCTACAAAGGCAAAAGACCTTAACTCGCTAGAGTGTGGAACTGAGAAAAATGACTTTAAAGATTTTTAGTTGTCCCGCCAAATTAATTATAAGTAGGGCACTGAAAATCTGGTAATTAGATGTTTAAGTAATGAAAATTATCTACATAACAAAATTTTGAGCTCAAACTTGACTTTTGACCACTATTTTAAAGTTACTGTACTCTGCCTTTGTATTGTCAGTAAAAAAGTGAGAAGTCATGCCAAGGCAAAAGGCAGTAACTTCCACATTATCAATATTTGGTTGCAGATCACCATTAACAAAATCATTTTAGTAACACCTGTATAAAATCTAGTGATCATGGCATTTATTTTGTATGATTTACAATTACCTAGCCTTCTAGTTATTGTGCTTTGGTTGCATTCTGGTGGCCCTAATACATTAGACATGACAAAATACCTCCATAGCGGTAAAGACTAAAGAGTATCTTCAAGTGGTACCGAGTGGCATAAGACTTGCTAAACACGCGTT